ATCGAAAAAATTCACCTGCAACATCTGCCATGTTTGTCTGGATAACGCTGATGAATTGGAGAAGCATAAGTCATCAGAACATTCTGAAGGTTTGGACGGTATGCCTCAGCTGGTAAACGAGATGGAGGTTGATCAAAAAGACGACGATAAAGAAGAAAAAAATACTACTGAAGTTACCAAGATCAAAAACACAAATCTGTGTAAATACTGTAAGGTTACTTTCGATAATTTTGCTGAGTTTGCGCAACACATGCACGAGGAACATGACGAAACTGCTAAACCTAAGGTTAGTAAAATCAAACGAAAAGACTTGGGAGATAGGAGGTATAAATGTGGCATTTGCAAGAAAGCTTTTGTAACTGTCTTAGCCCTAAACTCCCACGCGGGCTGGCACAAACGCGTTTTCGCTAAAAAGAGACTCCTAAGTCAATCAGCTCCGGAAACTAACACGGCCCACGGTGTGATAGCTTCAAAAATCGTCAGACAATCCAAGGTTTTCAAGAAAAAAATCACCCCTAAACCTCAGCAACAACAACCTGCGCAACAAGCGTCCAAATTCCAGTGCGGTACGTGTTCTGCGCAGCTACCCAACGACACGGCACTGCAAATCCATATCCTGGAAAAACACAGGAGTATGGACGAGGTTATGTTGGTCCCGAGATGCGATACGTGCAATCAGGATTTCGCCACTCAAAATGAATACGAGATGCACCAAAGATTCCATGATTTTCTCGAGCGACAGAAGAAAAATACCCAGCAGGTTATCATTAAAAAATATCCCTGTGAACACTGTAGTTCTGGATTCAGTAGAATTGATACTCTTCACACTCATATAAGACAACACCATCCAGAACACGCTAAGGTTGAATTTAAATGTACCCAGTGTGATAGAGTTTTCGAAAAACAAAATTCCCTAACTATTCACTTGAAAGTTCACGAAAAACAGAAGGCTGCTATGACGAACGGAGGTGGTTCTAGTACTAGTACTTCTTCAAGTAGTACAGGAAAAGTATTTTCATGTTCGATCTGTAGTATGGTCTTCAATTATGCCAAGGACCTGCGGACGCACACGATCAACGCGCATCCGTTTTGACGTAGCGTTACCAGTTGAGACGTGACTTTAGATTGAGAGTGCGCGTGTGATTTACAGGGATAGTGATGTTACAGGGTGCGTCAAAAAATAGCGACCGTGTCTTGGAGATTCGTGTTTTGAGTCACTTGTTTCCATTATAAATTTAAAACCCGAAAATACATGTTAAATGTCAATTTTCGATGTATGTCACAAGCTTATTCGGAAAAAATATATATACTGGGTGTTTCTAAAATAAACAGAAATAGAAATCCAGTTTTAATCTTAACTTTTATGACTAATTATAATGCTATTGGGATCTTATTGAAAATTAAGAATGTCGGTTATTCCTTAACTTGAATAATTCTCCTTAAGGGTTATGTACGAAGTGGCAACGTTGCCTGACTTTGATACACGGACAAGGAAAAAGCAGCTCTAAAAAGTTTTGTAAAATATACAGGAAAATTACAAAAACATACGAAATTTTTGAACTTTATGAAAATTTAAAGTACAGCTAAATTACTAGGTAACATATTTATACTTATTTGTGAAACATCTTGTATTATACCCAAAAAAAATACAGTTCTTTTTTATTTATTATTTTATTGTTTTGCTTTTTCGTTGATATTTTACTTTGTTTTTTTTTTATTATTAATACGTTATCATTTTTTACTGATGTTTTTTAATATTATTTTACTTATCTTTTTCAAATATTTTTTTAATATTCATTTATTCTATAGTATTTTTACTTACTAGTTTTAAAACACACGAAAACACAAAAGTATTTAAGGGTTTTTAAATTTATTTTGGATTTTGTATATATTTGGAGAAAAATATACTAAATGTGTCTATGTGCCATTGAGAAATTTAAAATTCTATCAACGTTTGAAGAGAGTAAATTTATAAAAATCCTCAGTATATCTGATCTAAAAAATATACCTTTCCATGTTGTATAGATTAGATTTTTTAAATTCCCAAAATATATTTAGGCAATTGACTCTAAAAACACATTAAAATTAACTTTTTTGTCAATACATAGATGGGGCTAGTTACCACATAGATGTGTCATATAATTCCGGTACTTTAACACCACCCTGTATACTAAAAGAAAACAAATCTGTTGACAGGTGTTTTGTAAATATACATAAAAATTGTGAGGATATTTAGAGACTAATCTATTTGTAAATATTTATTACTTTTAATGTATTTTTTTGTATTATTATTTTGTTATTTTTTTGTATTATTAGTACCATAAGTTTAGAAATTTCCCTTTATTTTCCTAAATCTACAAAATGACGAAAGGAACAATAATTATTTTTACCATTTACAAAGAAGTTTTTTTTCTATAAGGAGGGTTAAAAAATATATTATTTCCTTGGGTCATGAAATTTGTATGATCTGTAGATACGCCTAATATATATTTTTTTAAATTATATATCTGTAAGACTATTTAATATTTTTCTAGTTAAAGTTCTATTTGTTATCATTTTTGTTTAAACACTTTTTTCCATTATTTAATATGAATTCTAGAAAGAGAATAAAAGCAGAGTTCTAAAATTTAAGTGAATTTTTATTTATAATAAATATACAGGGCATCCCAATATTCCATGGACGATTATTAAAGCATAATACATTTTATGCGCCTCCATAGTTTAATAAATAATAATTAATAATAAAACCACAGTTTCAAAATTTAAATAAAATTTTATTTATAATAAAATGGCCGATTTACAATACATTCTAAAAATATGTAATCTTGTTGAAAGCACCAATATCTAAACGAAAAAAGATTAAAACTAAACAGTTGAGATGAATATAAAACAAATTTGTTTCGAATTTTGAACAATTATGGTCATGGGAGTATTAAAAAAAAACAGAAACATAGTTGTTTTATACTTAAAAAACTAAATAATTATCAGATAATTTCATACTGCTATTATCGAGAAAAAAAGATGAAATATATTACATAATAACGTGGATGGCATATCATTATCAGCCTTTATGAGAAAAGGGGAGGTCAAACTACACTACAATAATATCCAAGTTTTTTGGACTTATTTTTGGAACACGTTGTATATAGGTACACATGGAAAATTCGGAAATATATGTACAATTCAATGATTCTTTTTTGATTTGTTTCAAGCCGTACTCTAACTTGAAAATTGACAATATAACAACGTATTTAATTTTTTTGGTCGTTTTTTTGTGCTAATCTTTAAATTTTACTAATGCACGAACAAAAGTTTTGTTTATGATTGAATCTAGGTGATAAAACAACATTTTTTAACAATACCTATAGTCTTTCTCTAAAATTTTGATTATTTATTGAACTAAAACAGAGATCAGCTGGTGATAGCCATATTGCTTTGCTACATAACCTTACTTTTATTAAAATCGCTCAAAACAAAAACATTTTAAAGCGCTTTTTAGTAATATATCACGATATTTTTTGACAAAAAAATGAAACATTATTGTATACAATAATAACAACCTTATAAGCTTTATCCTCTAACCCACTGGCACAAAATGGCTCAATCTATGAATAAATCGTAAACTATTAGAAATTAGTGTTTTTTAGGCAGTAGTGTTGATAGCGTGAGTGATTTCGACTCCTTGAAGCAACCCTGCGTTGGCGTTGCAATCTGCTGGTGTTACCAAAGGCATGGTGGAAGCGCTAAGAAAGTTAGCTTCCTCTAGGTCTCTTTGTAGTTGGGATAGTGGAGGGCATTGCTGGACTACAGGCTGGATACTGTGAAGTACCTAAAAAATATTTTCATTTTTATTAATTTCAAAAAATATATATTTTTTTCTGTTTAGTTTTACCACAGATTAGGCATCCTATAAGTATACAGATAAAAATCTTGTCCCTAATTCGTGGTACAAAAATTGTTTTTTGTGACGATGTGCAAACGAGTCAAATTTCCTGTGCGCAAAAATAAACTCGCGTAAAATAGAGAGATATCGCTAAACCGAATAGCGTGCATGGACGTTAATAAGGCTAGGTGTTATTTCCTTTACGTGAGGTGGTATAAACTCTCTTCATTTATAGTTATGGGATCGGAAAGAATTCTGATCGCGTCGCGTCCGCTATTTAAACTTAACCTAACTTTGAATTTAAAACTTTGAAATTGTTTTGTTTACTAGGTATTTTAAAACTAAAGGGCTAAAGTGCTTATTTCCAGTGCTTTATTGTTCAACGTCTGCCAATGGGTTTAGGACAACAAGCAACAAATTCTCTTAGAAGGGCTAAGTCGTCATCTGCTGCAAACCTAATACTCTTTATAGGTTCTTTAGTATTGGAAGAGGTGGAATCCATATTTTGGGCCATATTTATTTAATTAAAACTAATCACAGCTACTTAAATATCAAATTACCTAATAAAACTAAAGCAATAATTCAAAACAATTGAAACATAAGCTAAAATAAAAGATCTCGCCGGCCGGCAGGGTTCGGAAAACTACATGTAACATTTAAAAACGACAGAAGAAAAACACGTAGTTAATCAGGTAAATTACGTCTTAGTTAACTACTTCCGATCTCGCCGGCCGGCTCCGGTTGTCAAATACCCGCACATGTCCATTTAAGCAATTTATAAACGTTATCAGAGATTATTTAGAAAGAGCGCTTGGTGTAATTGATCCGCAAATTACGTCAGGCGGTAACGTTATTAGCGGGTGTTGCGTTGACTCGTGCATATCGTAACCATGATAAGGTACGCGTAAATACTGGATGACGCTATTCGGTTTTCCGATATCTCTCTAATAACTGTGCCGGTCAGGCGCTGTGCACAATTTTAGAGGCCATAAGTGGGCGTGCTATGTGCGCATTCTAGAAGTAGTTATTAAGAACGTACGAAAAACAATTAAGAAAAAACAAAGATTTCTAAAACTACGTATAATCTGTTCATTAACCTCATGAAAAGCTACGTTATCAATGGCATATTATAATTGTCTCTTGGTTTCGTTCATGGCATCTTTCAGGCTTTCAGTCAGTACCTGTTTGCTGGCTAGGAACTCTTGGTTCAGTTCGTTCAGTCGTTTATCTTTCTCAGTAATTTTTTCTTTTAAAGAAGGAACCTAAAGAAAATTAAAGAATCTTGAAATTTAACATTTCACTAGTCCGAAAAAGTAGCAAAATAAGCGTTCGGCATTTAACGTTTTATGTAAAACTGGCTAGGTATTTTTACACAAATGAAGAAGGAAATTAAAGATAAAATATTATACTATATCCGTATTGTAGCACATTTTTAGACAACTTCTTTATTTTTAAGATTTTGATGGTCAAACATCAACAAAATATTCCTTATGTTTGGACTAAATTTTCTCGAAAATAAAGACATACTTTAAAATTCGGTTACAATACGAAAATAGATTGAAGTTTTGTGATTACAGTGGTATATAATTTATATGGTTTTGTATCAAATTGCTCGCTATTTTATGGCAAATGCTGAAGCTCTGCAAACCTTAATCAAGCCTTAATCAAAGCACGTGTGTTTGGAATTTTGGGTGTGGTTTAACACGACAGGATCGGGCTAAGCCTTAGGCTGATTTCTGAAATATAATATACATATATTTCCTTCGGCCACACACCCGCTTTACCCGACCCCTGAGAGCCACCCGAACAGTACAGCGTAATAGATTCTTAACCTGATGCTTTATTATACGAGGCATGTTTTTTAAGTACGTACCGTTTTGCGATTCCGCCGCCGCAGCGCTACGGTCGGCGTTCCGCGCATGCGCGCTGGTTACCTACATCTCTTGTCTATGCACAGACGCCAGTACAGTCTGATTCTTCATTGTATACGTTGTTTATTGAGTGTTTAAGATGCTTCCGACAATCGTGAGCCCCGCCGATTGTGAAGTACGGGCTGTCATACGATTTCTTAGTTCTAAAGGCGTAAAACCGATCGATATTCATCGTGAGATCTGTGAAGTTTACGGACAAAATATTATGAGTGATGGAATGGTAAGGAAATGGGTGAGAGCATTTAAAGATGGCCGCACAAATGTGCATGATGAAGAACGGAGTGGGCGTCCTTCGGTCGTTAATGAAGATTTGGTGCAGAAAGTGGACGAAAAGGTGAAAAAAAACAGACGCTTTACAATTTCATCATTGTGAGACTACTTTCCTCAATGTTCTCGTAGTGTTTTGTATCGCATTGCGACCGAGAACTTGAATTACCGGAAATTGTGTTCACGTTGGGTTCCGAAAATGTTGAGGGATTTGCACAAAACCCAACGTTTAGGCAGTGCATTGACTTTCCTTGAGCAGTACCACAATGAAGGTGAAGATTTTTTAGACAAAATTGTTACTGGTGACGAAACATGGGTGGCCTACGAAACACCAGAATCGAAACAACAGTCCATGGAATGGCGACATTCATCATCACCCAAAACAGTGAAGTTTAAGCAAACAATTTCTGCCCGGAGAATCATGTGCAGTTTTTTGGGACAGAAAAGGAGTATTGCTAGTGGAGTTTCTGCCTCGTAATGAGACAGTCAAGGCAGCATCTTATTGTGAGACATTGAACAATCTGCGCCGTGCAATCCAAAACAAAAGACGTGGCAAGTTGAGTAAGGGTATTGTTTTGCTGCATGATAATGCCCGTCCACATGTGGCTAATCGGACCAAAGATCTCATCAAATCTTTTAAATGGGAAACTCTGATCATCCTCCATACAGCCCTGATCTGGCGCCCAGTGACTACCATTTATTCCTGCACTTGAAGAAACACCTGGGCAGTCAGCGTCTTCAAGACGATAACGAAGTCAAAACAGTTGTGATACAGTGGTTAACCAGTCAGGCGGCAGAATTTTATGAGGAGGGTATTGAAAAACTGGTGCCACGTTATGACAAGTGCCTCAATATTCACGGAAATTATGTAGAAAAGTAGATTAAGGTACAGGCTTTCATGTAAAAATAAAATTATTGCGATATCTTTGCACGTTTTTTTAATTCCAAAACGGTACTTACTTAAAAAACATGCCTCGTATTATATATGTGTATTATTACATTAAATATTTCAAGACTTGATGATGTAATATACAAATAAATAAATGAGTGCGAATTACCTCGTTTTGTGTAATAATAAGTCTTGCTAAAACCTCTTCTGATGGCATTTCACCAGTATCACTAAAAACTCCTATTTGTCTATCAACATCTTCCTCTTTCACTCTCATTTCAAGCTCAGCCTTTGACAGAACCGTTGACAGATCGCACACATCTTGATTCAGCTTCTAAAAAATATATATTTTTTTTTATTTTAAACGCTTATTTTATTAAAGTATTAATTTATTTACCTCTACTTCCTCTCTTTGTTTGTTTAATTCACTTTTAACTCCATCCATCTCCGTGTTTTTCCGACTCAGCTGACTCATCAACTCTTTGACTTCACTCTTGAGTCGGGCGCCTAAGACTTCCCAGTCTTTCAGCTGTTTCACCACTAGTTTGTTGGTTTCTTTTTGTTTGTCCACTTGTTCTGTCAGCGAGTCTCTTTGATCTAGGAAAATCGGTACAAAACATTACAGTGATTTAACAGTTATTGTCACTATTAAAAGTTAAAGAGAACTGTTAAAAGTTCTTAACAGTAACTGTTAAGTATCAAGAGTAACTGTTAAAAATAGCTGTTGATGTTTTAACAGTTACATACTGCTCAAAGTATTAACAGTAACTGTTAAAAGTTTTAATACTAACTGTTAAGTGTTTTGACAGTTTAATTTTTTTTAAAAACAGTGTAATATATTTCTTTTTCTTTAAAAATCAAGAACGCACAGTTTTGTACAAAATTCTTGTATTCCATGTTTGAAATTAGTGTTTTATAATACATTTTATTTCAAAAATGCTTATTTTGTGCAGTAAACACAAATATAACGATTTTATACCTTGTAGTTCATTCATGCAGTCGTCGTTCTCAATCTGAATGATCCTGATGACCTTCAATAACCTGGTGATGACGTTATCGACATCTATCACTTGATCAACTAAAGAAATAGGTGGCAAAAACTCACCTAGAAAAAAAAATTAATATTTAGTACAGAGCGTCCCCAAAAATATTCCTGTAACATACTTAAAGAGAAAATATCACTGGTGAACGATGTATTGAGACTAGTCGGTTCAGAACACTGCCTGCTCAGGTATATATTCGAAACGTCTTTCAAACTTTCGCTGTGAGTTAGCCTCGAACTCAGCATGCTGCCATGTCCTGAAGAGATCATATTATGAGAATGACCTACAAAAAATATGTTTATAATGATTGTACAGTGTATAAATAAGTTTATTTTAATATCAAAGAATTTTCAAGGGTTTTTTTTAGTATATTTTTCTTATTTAGCGTGTCTATGCAAAAGTTTTATCTGTAGAATATTCAAAAATCAATGCTGACATAGAAGTACAAAATGCAGACAGTCTCCTTAAGTGACCGTAACTGAATATAAGAAAATATTGGAAACGTTTACTGTTTAAAAAGTAAAAACAATACAGTGAAATACTTAAAAGTCTTGGAAGTAACTGTTAAAAGTATTAACAGTAACTGTTAAAAGTTTTAACAGTTACTCTTTAAAAATAAAAACCATTACGGAAAAACAATAAATAACAATACAATAAAACAGCTAAGTTTTAACAGTAACTGTTAAAAGTGTTATCAGAAACGGTTGAAACTTCTAACAGTTACTCTTTAAACAGTAAAAATTTCAGTTATAACCTCTAGCAAACTTTGTACAAAGTTTTATAGTCATATTATTAATTATGACATGACAGAACACTGAGAAACAACTTAACCATTATTTTTTAAACAGTAAGGATTTAACAGTTACTCTTTAAACAGTAAAAACAATACAGTAAAACAGTTAAAAGTTTTAGCAGTAACTGTTAAAACCTTTAACAGTTACTGTTAAAAGTATTTTCAGTAACGGTTAAAACTTTTAACAGTTACTCTTTAAACAGTAAAAATCTCTGTGATGTCCTTTTGCTTTAGAAGCAAAAAACTAATTATGACATGATTGAGATCGTTTGAAACTTTGTTTTTCAATAAGAGCTCTAGTGCTATTATAAATACAAACCATCAGGAACCACCACGTCTTCCAGAACGTGTTCCATCATGAGACATGGTTCTGTTTCGGAATCTAGCATTTCGTTGGAACTGCTGCGGTCATACAGGCTGTCCTTTCTGCTCAAATCTTTACCGGAGGCTGCGTTTTTTATGGCATTGATCACAGCAGAAACAAACGAAGAACCTACAAAGAAAAGAGATTGAAAAATGTATTACAGGGTTGTTCACCACATACGACACGGAGTATTGTAGCTAAACGATTAGATTTTTACAAATTGTAAGTTTTAGGTTCATTGAAGGACTATTAGAACTACGATTTAAAGTTATTTCTACAAGATATAGAGTGTCCCAAATAAATAAAAGATATGAAAGTTGTCCTTTTTTAAACGAAACACCCTGTATATTATTACATTTTTAGGTTCTACGATTAAAATAAAGGTGAATCTCATTAAAGTTTATCACACTTAAACCTTACCGTTTTTGAAATATTTTCAATTTTGTGAAATTGCAGTAAAAATTTTAAGGCTTCATTTCTCCAAGGGTATCAAAGTTTTTAATATTAAATATTTACTGAAGTTTATTTATTGATTAGTTATTGTGTTGCAATAATAATAATAATACCTCATACAGAGTGTCTAAAAATTTATTTTAAATAATTTATAGTTTTAAACGGCAATGACTTGTTTAATTTAAATGGAACACCCTGTATATTTTAGGAGAATCAGATGCACAATTTAATTGTCTATCAAATTGTATTGTACCATTTTTTCCCTATCCTTTCAAGTTTTCGTAGAAAATGCATTTTCTTACAATTTAGACCTCATTTATCAATATACCCAAGTGGTGAACAACCCTGTTCGTTTAGCTACAATACTCCGTGTCGTATGTGGTGAACAACCCTGTATATTTTCGATAGGAATGAGCGAAAGAAAATTCGATAGAAAAAACTAGATATTGTATGAACAAACCTTTTCCATTTGGAGACTGCTTGTCTTCAGTAAACAACCTGGATTTTTCTGGAGTCGACTCTACACTACTGCTACTGTTATTATATGCTTCGTTGTGATATATAACATCCTGTAATATTAAAACAAATCATTAATATCATTGACATGAAAGAATTAGAGCAGATTTATTGATATACTCACTTCTAGTTCCTGGTCTGAAATATTGTAAGCCGCTACAAGTTCATCTACCAATCCACTAAGTCTTTGAATAAGGGAAGCTAAAGCTACAGAAGCTCCAGATACAGAGCTTCCTTGATGTACTAACAATTCTCTACTTTTAGCCTCTAAGTTTCCTATTCTAGCTTGCAATCCTAGTTTCTCTAAACGTCTTTGCTCACTAAGCCTAGCAAGCTGTTTACATTCTTCCTGTTGCTCAGCTATTTCTTTATCTTTTTCTATAAAAACTTGCTGATATCTTTTTATTTCACCTTCCGCTTCCTTCAAAGCATCTGCCAGAGTCGTTTTTTCAGCTTGCAAGAACTCCTGAAGCTCTATACTTTCAGCTTCCAGGTCTTGGTGTTGCTGGAGTAGAGTTTTTTGAGCTGCCAGACTCTTTTCCAAGTCTATTTGGAAGGAACGGCAGTAGTTGTTGAGTTTGGCTATTTCCTCTTCTTGTTGGATGATCACTTGACTGACGTTTTGAAACCTGTTTTCAAGCACCAGCAAACTGTCGTTGGAAGAACTTGATTCTGGAAAAAGATTATATTGATATTATATAGTGTTTATCATCAGTGATCAATTAATATTGATATTTTAATATAAATTGTAAATACAAAGAGTAAAGCTTTATACAAAGACCAATCATCACTTATGGAGCACTAGAATGGTGGGAAGCGGTACTTAAAGAGACTAATAGAAAAAGCCTCACAAAAGTACAGCGATTAGCAGCTCTAGATACAACTGGAGCAAGGAACAACACAGCGCAAGCTGCGCTAGAAGCAATTGTGAACTTGCAATCAATCGACTGGCTCGTGAAGGATCTGGCCGCTAAGGGTGCCCTAAGATTAAGGGAATCCAATCTGTGGAACCAGACCAACTACGGTCACTCGAGGATATTGCCAGTGATAGGAAAAATCATGGTGAACACGAGTCCACATCTGCTAGACCAGAAAACGGACTATATGCTCACCAAACATGATTTTGGAGAAAAGATAAGGATTCGCATCCCGACAAGAGAAGAATGGGAAAGCAACCGAGTAGTGAACACTCAAGAGATAGCAGCCTACACAGATGCTTCCGTAAATTCAGGGGGCACAGGGGTAGGCATCTTCTCAGAGAAACTAGACATTCGACGATCTTTGAGGCTATCGGATGGCTGTAATGTTCTACAAGCAGAGGTTAACGCCATAAAGGAAGCGACTAGATGTATACGAGAGAAAATTGCTGATAGACCAATAGGGGATATAGTGATATACTCTGACAGCTTGGCTGCTTTAAGAAGCACCACCATGTAATCAGTGAGATCGAAAACTGTGATGGAATGCCGAGACGCACTGTCCTGGCTGCGTCGGGGCGGGACTACTCTGTGCTGGGTGCCAGGCCACAGCAATGTGGTGGTCAATCAGGAAGCAGACAGACTCGCCAAAGACAGGGCCAGGGAAGAGGCTGTGGCAGATGACCCACTACTTGTGACGATCAACACACTGAAGGAGACTATAGGAACTACCATCAAAGCCAAGCAGCAAGAGATGTGGCAACACCGTGAGGACTGCGCTACAGCTCGAAAACCCGAAGAGCCAGTGGTAGATAGCAAAAAGACAAAACAACTACTAGAGCACATTGTAGGTGTCGTCTCTGGAAACTGTCCCACGGGGGTAAACCTCGTAAGATGGAAGGTTTCCGACGACGACTACTGCAGAGAATGCGGAGAGGAAGAATAAACCATAGAGCACCTGCTGTGCCACTGTCCGGCACTGGAATACCGACGCTTTAAAACTTTAGGGCAAGGTTTTTTGGAGGGACTAGAGGAAGCAGCAGAAGCCAACATCAGCGAAATCGGGAACTTTGCAAAGAGCTGGAAGTGCTTTAACGCAAAGAAAGAATGAGAAGACGGTTTGGTAAAACAATACAGGGGTATCGCAATGGGCCCCTAAAACTGGTTAGGTATTTTTACATAAATGAAGAAGGAAATTAAAGATAAAGGAGTATACCATATCCGTATTGTAGCACATTTTTAGACAATTTCTTTGTTTTTAAGATTTTGATGGTCAAACATCAACAAAATATTCCTTATGTTTGGACTAAATTTTCTCGAAATTAAAGACATAATTTAAAATTCCGTTACAATATGGAAATAGACTGAAGTTTTGTGATTCCAGTGATATATAATTTATATGGTTTTGTAACACATTGCTCGTTTTTTTTGTGGCAAATGCTGAAGCTCTGCAAACCTTAATCAAGACTTAATCAAAGCACGTGTGTTTGGTATATTGGGTGTGGCTTAACTATGGACACGTGTGACTGTGACAGTTAGTTTTGACATAAGAAACGTCAAAAATTGATGTTGTCGTTCGATCGCGATCAAATTTGGTGGGTAGGCTACGTAATCTTTGTTTACATCTTCATCAGGGTGAGACCTTTGAATAAGAAGACTAAGGAAGGTGCAAAATGCTATCCATGTATTCATGCATGGTGGGCGGAAAAAGGACTCTAGGGTGGGGATCCTAGACAGTTCTGTTTGACGATTCATTTGACACATTTGAATTTGATTTGAAATTTTGTGGATTTGTCAGTCTCTACGGAGCATATTTTATGTTATTTATTATTTATTCTACTACTGATAGTTGTATAAAGGTAGTAAATCTAGATGGAAATTGTGGCACAACTTAAATTAACAGTGACACTATCGCGATTTATCGAAAAAGACTCTAAAATAGTTGGTTGTGTAGCGTGCAATAGATCTCGGCAAAAATCGAGTGAAATAATGGAACAACTTTTCGCTAGTAAGTGACTATATAATATACATACGTGTAGTAAACCGATCATTTATGAAATTCACTTAAATTATCTAATTATATAATTTTTCTTCAATTTTTGCTTTTATTTACCTCTTGTCATGGTCAAAGATTAGATGTCAAAGAATTTAGATACGTCAATTTGACCTACCTGCTTCAGTAGCGTATCGGATGTTTATGGTCATAAATAATTATTATAACTTATCTATTTTTATTAGAATTTTATATTTTTATAACAATTTTAATAACTACCAACATTTATTCCCAGCGTAAAATAAAAAAAAAATATTGAGTCTATTTATTTTTTTTATTAGAACGGCATTGATAAACCGGAATTTAAGTCGGCCAAATTTGAGGCCCATCGCGGTGGACCTATGATTTTTGATATGCTCCTTCCTTCGTCTTCTTATTCAACGGAGTGAGACGTACAGACAGACGGAGATACGGACAGACAGATGGACAGAAAGACGGACAGACAGACGGCGAGAAGTTTCACTTCGAATATACGCACATAGTGAACACACATTTTTTTTACATATTCCAATTTCCATAAATAAATAAGAAATTGATAATACTTTACCTGTAGCTTCAGTGTTTTCTGCTTGTCCTAATATGGCAAGTACCCTTTGAGAATTATTGTTCAGTTCTTCTCTCAAGCCTTTTTTCTCTAAAGTCTCAGCCTTAAGCCTCGATTCAGTCTCGTTCAACTTCTCAGTCTGATCCTTATGCTGACTCAGCAAACTATCGTACTTCTCAGTCAAATTCCTCAGTTGGTTTTTGAGTTTCTCCATTTCTTTCGAATGTATATCGACCTGGACCTCTTTGGTGCACTGATCGATATCTTGGGGGTCTTTCGGAGACACCATGGCACCATTCAAGGCCTTGTTTATATCACACATCGTCAAGGCCGTCTGGATATTCATTTCGTGGTATATTTTCGTTTTGGCTTTGTTTTTCGGGACGTATAACGAACTAAACATCCTGGATGGAGTGTTTTCTTTAGAGCTCTTCTTGTTTATTGTCGTAGAAGGATTAAGAACTTTCTTTTCATCAGTAACTTTGTCTTTTTCTTTTTTCCTTCTCGGTAATGTAGCATATTTTTCTATAGTCTTACTGTCAGTGTGTGATATTCTAGATTTATGTTCCGTATTGACTCTCAGAGACCTCGTCATGGCAGAAGATGTCTTACTAGACCATCTATTGTCTTCTGTAGGTGTTGCCTGGGTGGAAGTTCTACTCAAACAAGTGGGAGGCATAGATCTAGGTCCTTGTGTTTTCCTAACAGAGTCTTTCCTGTTAAGATCCAGGTTATTCGGTACAGGTTTGCTTCTGGAGCTTGCAATACTTGTTCGTGAAGTTGGCGCAGTCTTACTTTGAAGCCTATCCAAGCTTTTGAGTCGGGAAGGATTACTCGACGTTCTTAGAGGTGTTGCGGGTGGTTTTGACTTGGATCTATCCCTGATGGTGGTTGTGGGTGTCTTTTTTGACTCGTTTGAGTTCAGGATTTTCTTCTTCGCCGATGATAAAGTGCTACGTCTACATCTGCTTTGGGATCCGCTCAGTGAAGAACTTTCACTACCGTTCTCGCTAGTAACGTCACCGTTTCTCAAAGTATAATCCTCTAAAAGCGTCGAATTCTTCCTCACTAAAAGATTGTAGGCTTCTTCGTAGTTAGAACAACAAGAAATAATCGAAGAGTCGCAAGATTGAGCGCAGATATTTTCGAAGTCCTGAGAAACCCCGCTGTTCGAACTTAAAGCTCTCTGATACTCTATTGCTTCGGCTATTTCAACACCACTATCACTTCCTTCGCACAATAACTGTTTTTTACTGTCACTAGAATTATTGAGATGTTGTTCGATCACTGTGATGTTGTTTGTGACGTTTAGGAACCCGTGAATGTTGGAGTCTGCTTCAATGTCTTCGTGTTCTTCCATGGCAGGTGGAGGTAAAGCATCTTCTTTGGCTTCAGAATGTACAGTGATGTTTACGGGCTCTGGCTGAGTGTTGTGTGGAATGTCCGGGTCCATTTCCGTTTAATTGTCCTGTCCTGAAATAGACGAAAGTGATATAAATATCGTTGACATATACAAAGGAATTAGATTTGCAATACGGAAACGTCTTGTATTTATATATAAATGCATAGCGGAGACTAAATTTATTTTAGATACGGGGGTCATTCGTTTGGATTTTGGCACATCTGGCGATGAAGATTTAGGGTAGGCAGAGCTGCAAGTTTTTGTTTCATATATTTTTATCGTAAATTTCCCCAAAACATGTGGGATCCCCCAAAACAGTTCTGTACCAAATTTCGTTTAAAAATATTAATTATTAATAATTCTGCAGTTAAATTAAATAATTCCCTATTTTTGCCAATTTAACGATGAGTTATCACGTAACCCTTGAAAAAAACAATCCACAACAATAGGTTTTATTAGCTGTCAATTCTTGCAGCGTAGAATTGAATATTAATTTAATAGCACGCAGAAAAGTGTTGTATCAAGAAATATTATTTGCATTATGGAACAATTAAATATTAGGGATAAAATTGAAATTATTCGTTTAGTGGGTGATAACTATCTTCAAGCAGGAGAAGCTGCCAGAGAATTTAACAACAGACATCCCGACAGACCGCAGTAAGTAGAAGCACGGTTCAACGAATAAATAGAGTTTTTAATGAAACTGGTTGTGTGTCAAAATACTTACTAAAAAACAGAAGGCCGGAACATCGAATAAATAGGCGGAATGAGGAAATATTAGAATATTTTCGTAACAATCCTCGTGCAAGCATTAGAGGCGCCAGTGTTGATTTGGATATACCAAGGGAAAATATTAGGAGATGTTTGCGAACTAATAAAGTTAAACCCTTTAAACCAAAGATTTTACACACTTTGGAAAACGGAGATGATGTTAGACGATTAGAATTCTGCTTATGGGCTCAAGCAGAGTATTTAAATAATAGAAATTTCTTAAAAGAAATTTTATTTAGTGATGAGGCAACATTTAGTACAAACGGAGTAGTATCCTCTCAAAATTCGCGATTCTGGGCAGTCGAAAACCCTGAATGGGTGATCAATACAAGAAGACAGTATTCTCAGAAATTAAATGTGTGGTGTGGCATACTTGATGATAGAATCATTGGTCCATATTTTTTTGAGAGAAATTTGAATAGTCCAACGTTTTTGAATTTTCTGATTAATGACTTTTGGGATGCAATACATAATTTACCATGCCAAACCCGTTTGAATTTAAAATTTCAATTGGACGGATCACCTGTGCATAACGCGGCAGTTGTCAGGGAATGGTTAAATGAAAATTTTGAAAATAAGTGGATAGGTCGAAATAGCCCGCTAATTGAGTGGCCACCGAGATCCCCGGACCTAACACCCCTTGATTTCTTTCTTTGGGGTTTCTTAAAGCAACAAGTTTACAAGTCTAGACCTCAATCTGTAGATGAATTACGTATTAGAATTACAGAGGCTTCTGCAAATATTACACCACAGCAGCTTAGGAATGTAACTGTTAATCTAAGAAAAGATGCGACAAATGTATTGAACTGAATGGAGGGCTGGTAGAAGCAACTAGAATTATTTGAATATGTTTAACTTATTATTCGGTTATTGTGTTGCTTGTAGTATTTTTATCATTGTTTGTAATAAAACTCGTTGTCGTGGATTGTTTTTTTCAAGGGTTACTTGATAACTCATCGTTAAATTGGCAAAAATAGGGAATTATTTAATTTAACTGCAGAATTATTAATAATTAATATTTTTTAAATGAAATTTGGTATAGAACTGTTTTGGGGGATGCCGAATGTAGGGGTGTACTCAAATTTTTTGAAAAAAAATCGCTAATATGATTTTGCAAATTTTTCACCACAAAAACTTTGTTAAGTAGGCCTTGTTTTTTGTGAAATAACATGACATTGAGCCCTAAAGTACATTTTTTGAAACTTTATATTTGAAAAAAAAAATCATCAAAATCGGACTATAAACACAGATTTTATGGAGGGTGCCCGGTCTTGAGTGGGTCACACTGTACATGTGTTTACCATCTTTAGTTTCTTTAGTTATAAAAAAGTAGCAACTGTGAAAACCGTATCTTTGTACCGCTGCTCATAAACGAGAAAGCCTGTGAAACACACAAAAATGGGACAACCGGTACTAATTTTTGTTTAAGTTGTTGATGTTTTTACATGTCTGTTTTTATGAAACAGGAAGTGACCGAAAACAATTGAATACGTCAATCAATCTTAATTTATGTCATATACTAACATACCAAATCTCGTTAGGTCTTTATGTTAAAAAACAAAAAAAGTATAGGGGTGAGCCACTTTTGAGACGCAACCGGTATATATTATGTACTTTTTTTTTTTTTGAAAATTATTACAACCCAGAAGTAATATTTCTTGAAAAAACCCTGCGTATGGTCTAGAAGTAAGAATTCTATATTCTATATTTCTTCAGAAATTTATTAAAAAATCATCTGATAACAAACTACACAATGCTTATCCAATTTGCTAATAAAGTTAATGAAAATGCTTTTAAGGTATTGAGGTTAATGACAAAGCTATTTATAAAAGAGTTTACAGGAAAAATTAACCCTAATAAAAATATAACGAATGAGCTCTATCCATGAAGAGATTATTTATCCAGGTGATAGTCTGGTTAGTGTCGAAAGCCAGCCTATTTCTGGAACAGTGTCTTAATTATTCTGGATGAGCTGTGGATCAACACAATTGTGAAAAAAGGGTTAATTGACTTACTTTATTATAAACTCTCATCAATAATTGATTCTTTTTTTTTATTTAACCTATAAGATGTTAAGATAATCAGAATTATTTTTTTGTCTATTTTTAATCCTAACCTTATTGTGCTTTAATTGCTCAACTTTTAGTTTCCGACATCCCTATGATAAAAGGCTCGAATTTTACGACACCCTGTACAATATCGGACCATAACTAGAAAAAAACCGTCCTGGTGGCATACGTCCAAATAATTTAATATTTTTTTTTAGCTCGAATTCGACCTCAAGAGAAACTTAAAGACAAACATCGAATCGACTGGACGATAATCTTGATCTTGAAGCGTAAATTATGCCCATAAAAAGTCGAAAAGCAATTTTTTATAAGGCCGAAATGACCTTAGCCTACATTTCCTTTTTCTTTAATTGCTCCATCAGTCTAGACAAGGAGAAATTAGAAAAAAATCCTTATAAGATGTGAAAAACAGTTTTTCCTGATACCATAAGTGGGTGATTCCATTTTAATTGGGATTTTTTATGTCTTTTACTTGAGTTCTTAGGACACTCTGTACAAAATTAGTTGAAATATTTTACACCATAAACAAAGATTTCGAGGTAATTAATAGAAAAAAAGTAACTAAAGAACTGTAATAAAATTTCTCTATATATTCGAATTTAATGTTTAAATCACCTGGAGTAAAAGTATATTTTTGTTGCATAAGATCAGAATCTCAATAATGATCTTCAGACCTTCTAAATAAACTATATATCTGAGTAAAAGATCAACAAGGCATTGTATCTCAGTGAAATGTTTCATTTGTATTTTACAGTCACTTTAAAGCTAAGTCAAATTAACAACAGATGTAAATTAACCCAATCGTGTATTCTAACGGTCCATCGCATAGAATATTTGTCAACTTTCATAGAGAGTAAATCTCACTTTTTACTCTTTATAAAGAGTAAAATTCCCAAGCTCAGATTTTTCAAAAAAGGCATTTAATGAAACTGAAAATGTAAACAAAGAAAAAGCTGCAACGCCTTAAATTGTTGGATTGTCAATTTGAATTTTGAACGCCGAAAACTATCATATATGAGTCACTATGAGTTTTTTAGTTTTATAGTAATTTAACTGACTTTATGTTAATTAGTTTTCTTTATGTATACAAATGGACTAGTAATATTATCGTTTTTAGCACCTGAACATTTTGTACACTTGTTGCTTTAAAAACAATCTAAAATGTCGATATTCCATGGGTATAGTGATAAATGAGGTCTAAATTATAAGAAAATGCATTTTCTACGAAAACTTGAAGGGATAGGTAAAAAATGGTGTAATACAATTTGATAGACAATTAAATTTTGCATCTGATTCTCCTAAAATATACAGGGTATTCCATTTAAATTAAACAAGTTATTGCCGTTTAAAGCTAGAAAATATTTAAAATAAATTTTTAGACACTCTGTATGAGGTAGTGTTATTTTTATTATTGCATCACAATAACTGATCAATAAATAAACTTCAGTAAATATTTAGTATTAAAAACTTTGATGCCCTTGGAGAAACGAAGCCTTAAAATGTTTACTGCAATTTCACAAAATTGAAAATGTTTCAAAAACGGTAAGGTTTAAGTGTGATAAACCTTAATCAAATGTATCTTTATTTTAATAGTAGAAACTAAAAATGTAATAATATACAGGGTGTTCCGTTTAAAAAAATACAACTTTGATATTGAATTGTAGCTCTAATAGTCCTTCAACGAACCCAAAACTTACAATTTGTAAAAATCTAATTGTTTAGCTACAATACTCCGTGTCGTATGTGGTGAACAACCCTGTATAATGATTTCTTCACTCATTCTAAGAGAAATATAAAATATAACAGAAATAAGAACAAACGAGAAAACATATTCTTAAAGAAATATAAAATATAAAACTGTTTGTTAGAACGTTGCATCAACTAATTCTATATGTTTCTTTCGGCATCACATTAATTGAAGCATTTTTTAAGAGCGTCATCCAGTCCTCCATGTCATTTTTTATTTGCGTTTGTTCTCAAGAAAGAACGATTTATAAATAAAAGTGAAAATATATTTTTCCAGTTTTTCCAGACATTCTGCCAGTTCGTATTTATCAAACAAGTCCGATCTAGGGTACTCTAATCGATATAACATCGTTTTGGGTTTATTTTTACGAAAAATCTGACCAGGAAATCTTAGGAAATGATTTTTCTTTTTAATTAGTGCAAGCTCAGCTAAATTCGTGAATTTTTCTGGAAAATAGGTAAAACAAGATTCCTATTGGTTTTAC